CACCGGGCAGTCTGTTCCCCTATCGGAGGGGGATTAACCCTCTCACCCACCCCCCTCCCCCTTTACACACACCGGGCAGTGTGAGGGAGAAGGAGTGAGGGTAGGTGCAAGGTGAGGGATTGAGGGGCAGAGCGAGGGGAGTAGGCAGAGAAGGGAGTACAAGGGAGGAAGAAGGGGTGTGTGGAAGGGGTGAGGTTAGTGGGGACGGAGTGAGGAGATGGTGCAAAGGGAATGAGGGGAAGGAGAGGGGTGAGGAATAAGGAAAGAAGGGGAGGAGAGCAGGATGTGAGGGGCATGAGGGGAGTGAGGGATGTGTTTAGGAAGAGTGAAGAGAGGGAGCGAGCAGTCGGAGGGTGGGAAGTGAACGAGTGAAGGGGGAGTGGACGAAGTGGGGGCGTGAGGAGTTACGTGAGTGAGTAAAGGAAGGAGCAGAGTAAATAGGGTGGGGGAATGAGAGGGGAGTCACAGGGGGTGAGTAAAGGAGGTAGGGAGTGAGTAAGGGGCAGAGGAGAGGGGGGGACACGAAGGGAGAGAGAGCGAGGGGAGGGGCGGGGGGGGGGAGAGAGAGCGGGGGGAGGAGGGGGCAGAGAGAGCAAGGGGAGGAAGAGGAAGGGTTATGAAGGCAGGAGGTGAGATGTTGTTTGTAGAAGACCTGCTCAGGGGGATGTTGATGATCTTGATGAGTCGCCCTCACTGTTTCGCCAGTCTCTCTCTCTCTTTGTCTCTCTCTCTCCTTCCCTCAGTCCGTGAGCCCCCCGGAGCAGCCTGGCTTCAGCCTGCACTGCCCCTCTTCCTCCTCAGAGGCTGGGGGGACAGCTCCCTCAGAGGCAGGAGGGCAGAAGGAGGAGGAGGAGGAGGGGGAGGGGGAAGGGGAGGGGGCTGGTCCCAGGCCTGGGGCCTTCTCCACACCATTCTCGCTCACCCAGCGCCTCTTGAAACGCAGTTTGAGGGGCATGGAGCTGCTGTGCTCGGACCCCCGGCCTCTTAGAGGACAGACCCCGGCCCCTATCCCAGGGCTGGAGCCAGCCGGCTGTTCCGCCGTGGGAGGCGGCGCCGGCTTGGCGAAATGCGCCCCCTGGGGCTCAGCCCGGGGCTTGCGGCCTGGCGGCGGGGCCTGTAGCCTGATGCTGGGGGCAGGGGGCTCATCGTCGGTGGCGGGGGCAGGAGTAGGGTAGCGGGGAAAGGGGAAGGAGCGAGGGCTCAGGTGGTAGTGGTAGACGGAGCGGGCGTGGGCCTGTAGCCACAGGCTCATCTCCTCGGGGTTGAAGCTGAAGCGGCCCCCGGGGCATGGGCCTGGGCCAGGGCTCAGTCCGAAGCCTGGGGCTGGAGTTGGAAGGGGACCCGGTGAGAAGGGGCTGCCTGGATCCGGGTACAGGCGGATGGGGAGGCTGCCTGATGGGAAGCGAGCCCTGCTATCTGATCCCTCCTGATCCGCAACCACAGAGATTGGGGGCCCACGGCCTCGGGGAGTGACAGTCCCACTGCAACAACCTGGGGACACAGGCTCTGGGCCTGGGAAGTGGAACAGGGAGGAGCCAGTGGGAATCGGGGGAGCACTCTGGGGAACGGCACCTGTAGGAAGGCATGGGGGCGGTGGGGAATGGAGAGAAAATGGAAAATAAAATCAAAAAACAAACATTAGACTTCCAATACACAGGACATTGTCCCCATCCTGCTCTCTGTCCTCTTCCTCTCCTCTAGACCTTTATGAATATTCACTGTTTCTACCTCCTTCCTCCCCCGACCATCACCTTGCTGTCTGCCTGGAAGATTAACAGTGTTTAAAAATGCAAGAAAGGAATGAACTAACCCATTAGATCATCGAAGAGAACAATAATGGAATCTCTACAATGCAGAAACAGGCCATTTGGCCCATCGAGACTACACCACCCCTCTGAACAGCATCCCACGCAGGCACGTACCCCTATCCCATTAACCCTGCGTATCCCGTGGCCAATCCACCCTACTCTGCACACCTTTAGACTGTGGGAGGAAACCAACGCAGAATGTACAAACTCCATACGGATAGTCACCCGAGGGTGGAATCGAACACGGGTCTCTGGTGCTGTGCTAACCTCTGAGCCACCATGCTGGCCTTAGGATTAGAGATTTGGAGACGCACCCTTGCTTCCCATCTCAGCCTGAACCCTGTTTCTGTCAGCCCACTACTCTCACTCTCTTCCCAAAGCCTTGTGCAATTCTCACTTGCCAGGATGCAGACTCTTCTCCATCTGAGTCACTGCAGACTCCCAACTCTGCTCCACACTCCTGATACCAGACTCCCATGTATCTCTTATTCCAGAGACAGATCACCTTGAAACCCATCCAGTCTGTAACTCAACCAGTGGGTATGTTATTCTGTATGTAAACCACCCTAAATCCCTCAATTAGCTTCCAGTCTGTAACCCCCTCCTGGGTATCTGTTATTCTAGACAAAAACCAGCCAAGATCCTTGATTAGATACCAGTCTCTAAATTACTCAAGGCTATGTGTTGTTCTGAATAAATCACTGAAGCCCTTGATTAGGTTACAGTTTGTGTTGCATTCCCACATAATCTGTTGTTTTTGCAGAAACCACCAAACTTATTATCTGGATTCCAGTCTGTAACCCTCCACTGGCTATGTGTTATTCCATATTAAAACCACCCCCAAATCGCTCAATTGGTCTGTAAGTCTCTATTGGGTATCTGCTTCTGAATATAATCGACAACTCTGAATCCCCGATTAGATTCCAGTCTGTAACTCACTCCCAGGTGGTTGTTACGCTGTATATAAAACAAATTTCCCTGATTTGCATCCAGTCTGTAAAACCCTCTCCAGAAGGCTGTCTCAAGCCTACACTCACCAGATCCTCGTACATCGATAAAGGGATAGTTCACCATCAGCATTTTATTGAAGTTAAACTTGTAAGTAAATCGTTTCCCTTTGGTTTTGTGGAGAATTCTCTTGTTGTAGTAATACCTGGGTGAAAAAGCAAATCGAGAGTCAGGGGAGACAGAGAGGCACAGGGCGCTGTGGAGTTAGACAGAGCGAGAGAGAGAGAGAGCGAGAGAAAGAAATGGGGGAGAGACAGAGTTTGAGGCATACAGAGAGAGAAAGAGAGACAGAATGACACTGAGAGGAAAGGGGTGAAATGGAGAATGACAGAATGAGAGGAGGGGTAGCGAGGATGAAAGAAGCAGTGTGGAGGTAGGAACTGTGTTTTGGGGTGGGGTGTGGGGTGTGGGGTGGGGGGAGTACAGGGTGATGGAGAAACAGTGGGAGGGACAGTCAAGGAGACAGGGTTGACAGGCATTCGAATGGGGAGGATCCAAGGGGAGGTGGGTAAGAGGCATGGGGAAACAGACAGTGAGGCAGTAATAAGGTTCCCCATGGTAGGCTATTGCAGAAAATACGGAGGCATGGGATTGAGGGTGATTTAGCAGTTTGGATCAGAAATTGGCTAGCTGTAAGAAGACAGAGGGTGGTGGTTGATGGGAAATGTTCATCCTGGAGTTCAGTTACTAGTGGTGTACCTCAAGGATCTGTTTTGGGGCCACTGCTGTTTGTCATTTTTATAAATGACCTGGATGAGGGCGTAGAAGGATGGGTTAGTAAATTTGCGGATGACACCAAAGTCGGTGGAGTTGTGGATAGTGCGGAAGGATGTTGCAGTTTACAGAGGGACATAGATAAGCTGCAGAGCTGGGCTGAGAGGTGGCAAATGGAGTTTAATGCGGAAAAGTGTGAGGTGATTCACTTTGGAAGGAGTAACAGGAATACAGAGTACTGGGCTAATGGTAAGATTCTTGGTAGTGTGGATGAGCAGAAAGATCTCGGTGTCCATGTGCATAGATCACTGAAAGTTGCCACCCAGGTTGATAGCGTTGTTAAGAAGGCGTACAGTATGTTAGGTTTTATTGGTAGAGGGATTGCGTTTCGGAGCCATGAGGTCATGTTGCAGCTGTACAAAACTCTGGTGCGGCCGCACTTGGAGTATTGCGTACAGTTCTGGTCACCGCATTATAGGAAGGATGTGGAAGCATTGGAAAGGGTGCAGAGGAGATTTACCAAGATGTTGCCTGGTATGGAGGGAAGGTCTTATGAGGAAAGGCTGAGGGTTTTGAGGCTGTTTTCGTTAGAGAGAAGGTTAAGAGGTGACTTGATAGAGACATACAAGATGATCAGAGGATTAGATAGGGTGGACAGTGGGAGCCTTTTTCCTCGGATGGTGATGGCTAGCACGATGGGACATAGCTTTAAATTGAGGGGTGGTAGATATAGGACAGATGTCAGAGGTAGGTTCTTTACTCAGAGAGTAGTAAGGGCGTGGAATGCCCTGCCTGCAAAAATAGTAGACTCGCCCACTTTAAGGGCATTTAAATGGTCATTGGATAAACATATGGATGATAATGGAATAGTTTAGGTTAGATGGGCTTCAGATTGGTTTCACGGTCGGCGCAACATCGAGGGCCGAAGGGCCTGTGCTGCACTGTAATGTTCTATGTTCTAATGACACAAGGCAAGTCCCAGGCAGACAGAGGGTGACACGAACATTCAGGAGTGGAGGAGAGGTGACAGTGCAATAGGGAGACAGCAAAAGAGCAAGAGACAGAGGGACTGGACATGGGAACCAGACGAAGGGCTGGACAGAGGGAAAAAGAGCTGGGCAGATAGAGAGACAGAGAGTGGTACAGAGGGGGGATAGGGAAAGAGAGTGAGAGAAACTGTGGGAGCTTTACCCTGTATCTAACCCTGTGCTGGTGCTGTCGCTGTCCCTGTCCCTGTCCCTGGGAGTGTTTGATGCGGGGGGGGGGGGGGGGAAACAGTGTAGAGGGAGCTTGACTCTGTATCTAACCCCTGTGCTGTTCCTGCCCTGGGAGGGTTTGATTTTGTCCAGCAGACATCGAACAGAGCCAGCTCCTTACCTGAGGGCCCGACTGAGCTTGTCATAGTTCATCTGAGGTTTACATTTCCTCCTTCCCCAGAGCCGAGCGACCTCATCTGGGTCTTTGATGACAAACTCTCCGTAATCTCCTTGCCAGGCAATGACTTCTCGATATTCCTCTTTCCTCAGCAGGTCCAGGATGAAGTGCCAGAGCTGGACTTGGCGACTCCCGGGGCTGGAGTCAGGCTTGTAGGCCCAGTCTGGGTAAGCCAAGCCTGGAAAGGTAGGCCCGAAAACAGACAATACAGACACAGAGTTAGGGGGCTGGCACAGCACCAGATGTGGACCCCTTAAATCAGATCCTGTGACTGGGAGGAGGCCATGCAGTCCATCACAAGGAGATGGCCATTCAGCCTTGCTTCAGCATTTTACACCAGAAGAGAGGAAGAATATTCAGGCTGCTTGAGTCCGTTAGACAGGGACCAGAGGGGACCGCTCAGCCCTCCTCAAGCCTGTTACAAAGGAACAGAAGGAGAGTCTGTGACACTCTGCCAGGATGGGGGCTACTCTGAACCTCTCGAGACCACCATATCATGGGCCATTCAGCCCCTTGTCGATGCTGTCCCCCCCATCCTCTCTCGACCTTTCCTGAGCCACCTCCCCCATTGAACCCTTCACCTGCCCCCAATGACTTACCCACCACCTGCTCCCACCCCTCCACACTCTGCCTGGCCCATGCCATCTACCGTGCAACCCCCACCCTCCAGGAAGCTGCCAGCCTCTCCCTGCCTTGCCCCCCCCCGAACCCCGCCCCCCCCCTCCCAACTCCCAACTCCCAATTGTCCAGTTCCCCCCCAGACAACGTCGCCGCTCCCCAAACCCAGTGCGGTTCGCCTCACCCACTCCGTTACCGTTCTCGTCCTCCTCCTCCTCCTCTTCTCCTTTCACCCCAGCAGTTTTCATGGCTGTAACAGTGGAGGGCAAGGGGTGGCGGGGGAGGGGGGGTGATGTGGTTAAGGGCGAGGTTGGGTAGAAGAGGGGGTGGTGGCGGTGTGTACGTGTGTGTGTCTGGGCACAAATCCCCAGAGATGAAAGAGGAAAAAAAAAAATCAAAGAAATTAAATGCAGAGGCAAATTCTACTTTTTTTTGGCCGGCTTAAAAAAGAAACAATCAGTTGGTGCCTTTAACAAGGGTGTGGGAGGACTTGCCCCTTTAACTGGAGACCCCACATTCCTCCAGAGAGACCATCTTGCCCCCGAACCCCCTCCTCCTCCTCCTCCTCTTCTAGGATCCAGTCACTGCCTGGGTGAAAGCGGAAAATCGTCGCGCTCTTGATGACGCACGTCCTGCCTTGGGGGTGCCAGGTCACCGGACGGTGACGCCGTGCTGATGACGGCACGCCCGGGAAAAAAACCCGATCGTCGCAGCCAGCATTTCAATGCGGGCGGCTACCTCATTCGCCGGTGAGCCCCGGTGACCGCCATCGACCCGCCACCACTCGTCAGACGAATTCCGACCTGTTTTATTTCCGCCCACGGCGCCTAAGATGGCGGCCGCCGCTATCTTGCTGCGGGGCACACGGCGAACAGGACGCATGCGCAGCCGTCGCAACGCCCGCGGGAATGTTTCGGTGCCATTTTGGTGCGTGGCGAATTCGAGTGGGACGCATGCGCATACGTTGCGCCGCGCCGGTGTCATTTTCGTGCGGGGCAAACTACGCATGCGCAACTGTAGCGAGCGCTTAGTGGGTCATCCTTGACCGGGGAGGATTCCACTTAAAGGGACCGTGCTTGTAATTAAAGTCAAATCTGAGGGGGTAATATTGGAACAATGTTAAGTGCCACTGGAACAGTAACTCAGGGGCCCAAGCTGTTGCTAGTGTGAGGGGGGTTCAGTTGACTGCGGCAACTTAATTTCAATTCATAAAACCTGGAATTGAAATATAGCCTCAGAGATAGTTTTGTGGTCACTATCATCCATCCTCCTAAAACCCCATCTCATTCACTAATACCCTTTAGGGAAGGAAATCTGCTGTTGTAACTCCTGTCTGGCCTACATGTGACTGGGTATTAACATACACGCTGGCCAAGTAGGGATGGGCAATAAATGTTGGCCTCAGTGGCAATACCAGCATCCCCTGAAAGAATGCACAATTTAAGAAAAAAACCTGAAACCCAGAGTGGGGAAAAAAAAAGTTAAGAGGTAATACAGAACAATCAAATCAATGTATCTCACCAATTTTAGTGGGGTTTACTTTTCTTCTCTGTTCTACACAGTGAATGTGACAAAATTAAAATATTTTAAAGACATTTGGACTTGTACATGCATAGGAAAGGTTTAAGAGGGATATGGGTCAAATAGGTGCACATAGGACTAGTTCACTTTAGGAAACCTGGCCAGCCCGGAGGATTTGTGCCGAAGGGTCTGATTCCATGCTGTACAACTCTCTTGAAAAAACATAAAACCTAAGGCAGAGAGTTGCAAAGAGCATTTCAACTAAATTCACCCACGGCCACACGGTGGCTCAGTGGTTAGCACTGCTGCTCCCTGGCACCAGGGACCCAGGTTCAATTCTACCCTCGGGCAACTGTGTGGAGTTTACACATTCTCCGTGTCTGCGTGGGTTTCCTCTGGGTGCTCTAGTTAACTCCCATGGTCCAAAGATGTGTTGGTTAGGGTGGATTGGCCAAGGAAAATGCAGGGATGGGTAGGTCTGGGTGGGCTGCACTTTGGGCAGAATGACCAGCTTCCACACAATAGGGATTGTTACACTATAAATCAACCCTTTGACATTCATTGTTATTACCCTCACAGAATCCCCTTCTAGCAACATCTACAGTTTACAATTGATCTGAAATTCATTTGGACTCACCCTATAAAGACACAAGAGCCGCTCAGAGTGTGTAACTCACCTCCTGACTCTCCAGAGCCTGCCCACCATCTACAAGGCCTGAATGAGTGCAGCTAGTGAAGCTCAACCCCATCCAGGACAAAGCAGCTGCTTGATTGGCACCACATCCATAAACATCCCACTCCCTCCCCCACTGATGCTCAGGAAAGTACCAGCCACAGGATGCACTGCAGCAATTCACCAAAGATTTGTAGATAGCACCTTCTAAACACTCTTCCCTCTAGTACGATAAGGGCAGCAGGTACATGCTGGAACACTACCCCCAGTAAGTTCCCCTACAAACCACTCATTGTCCTTAGAAATATATTGCTGTTCCTTCAGTTTCGCTGGTTAAAAGTCCTGGAATTCCCTCCCACATGGAATTGCAGATTCAGAGCAGCCTAAGGACTACAACAGTTCAAAAAGGCCGACAAGGTAAGGGAGATATTAATAATGTTGACACACTGGTACTGCGGATCTACATATTCTACACACTATTTATATGGGGGAGTCTGTAACCAGGGGTATAGAATTTCCAAATAAGGATGAGTGGAAGCCTTTTAGAATTGATCCAGCTGAGGAAAAATTTGTTATTTTTCTCTGAAAGTTGTGAATCTGAGAATTCTTTCCTCCAGAACGGCTGCAGAAGCTTAGTCATGGAGAATGCGAGAGATCCACAGTTCTCTCAAAACTGGTGACAGGGGTTAGAGAGAGTGGCTTTGAAATGGGTAATGGTGTTGAGAATGAAATAACTCTGCAAAGGCCAGTATCCTGTCACCAAGTCAGCTTTTATTGACACACAGTGTGCGACGCTGACCCAGCTCCCTCAGTGTGCAGAACCCCAACCCTCCTGTTTATACCTGTCAGCCAGGGCTCCCTGACTGGGGCTGTTAACCTGGGCCAATCAGGGAACTCATTTCTCCGGAGGTCCACCTGACTGACCTCATTGCAATCACTACATCCTGTCCCCCCACCAACCATCCACCAAGTCCTGGAATGTAGGCCTGTTCTTTCTCTTGTAGCCTCTCCTGGGGCACTTTCTCACCAGGTCCGGTTCCTCCAACCCTGCCTCGGATATTGGCTGCATGTACCAAACTAGCCCATCTCTTGTGCCGACAGCGTCTCAGCTGAAACTCATCATCTTCAGGCAGTAAAGGCCTCGAGGCTGTCAACATCTGCCGTGTCCATCTCAGACTCCGAGGTTCCTTCAATTCCAGGAGGAACACGCGGGCTCCCGACAGCCCATCTGGATGTTGAGAGGGGGCCAGGGTATGGTTTGCTCCAGCCCTGTTTGTGAGGTTGCACATGAGGATCCACCTGCTTGTTCAGGACCTTCTCTCCTTTGTACGTCACGGGACCTGGCCTCATGGCGACCATGCCTCTTACCCACACAGGGCCATTCCCATGGTTCCCACACCAAACGTCATTGTTCGAGGTAAACTGTCTCTCTCACTTGGAGGAGTCCTGCGTCTGGTGCTGGTGTTCCTGATGCAGTTTCACCCTCCCTGCCAGGTCCAAGAAGATCGCTTTTAACCGGGCAGTGTCTCCTCCCCAACTTCGCTGGGGCTATCCCTGTGGCTGTATGAGGAGTGGTCATTTAATCAAGCAGGAACCAGGACAGTTGAGTGAGGCTGTAGGCTGTTTCTTTAAGGCTGTGTTCAAAGTTTGGACCGCTCTTTCTGCCAGACCACTGGAATGATGGATGGCATGGAGCTGCCCTTGTGGGAAGAATATTGTCCGAATCTAGGAAATACTCAGGTTCCCAGCTCGCAAACAATGGCCCATTATCTGGGACCAACAGTCAGTTTTTCTATCACCGTCCCGTGTTTGATGAATGAACCGAATGCACGTCCATTTTGCATGGGTTTCCACAACGACTAAGAACAGAGCCCATGAAGGGACCTGCGTGGTTGACATGTAGCCAAGTCCAGAATTTGCCTAGCAATTCCTAAAAATTGTCCTTGGTTGGCACTCTGGGCACTGCCTCACCAACACAGCTATGACCGCATCCAATCCTGGCCACCAGACACAACTACTCACCAACGTCTTCATTTTGGGAACCCCCTGGAGGAGTTCAGCCAGTATCTGTCAATAGCCTTTGCTCAGGACAATCACTCTTGCTCACTGTAATAATATTGACAATTCCTTCACTTTCCAGCCTCCCCGATTTCAGCCTCTAAGGTAAATGGCACTGGGCAGGGCCTTGCTGAATCATGGGATTGCTTTTTGGTCAACATGCAAGGTGGCCTTGACTCCTTTGAGAGCCCCTGACCCTCCCTGAAAAACTTCCAGGTATTTAATTAGGACTTCCCTTAGGCAGCCATTTTCAAATCAAAAAATGTTGAACCAATCAAAGGTGAATCCTTCTCAACTAATTTCACTCCCATTGAGCTCAGGCCTGAGCCTTTTACTACAATCAGTGGGAACTGAACCAACTGCTTCTCATGAGACCAGAACAGAAGTTGTACCCTTAATCTGTAAAATTTCCCAAGTATAGGTTCTCAGTCTAGGCAAGGTCTTATGCAAACTTAAGGGTTGGAGTCCAGAACAAATTTTGTTAAAGACTGGTTTTGCAATCATCAATATCACCCACGAGAACTAGGTGACCAGACATTTATTTTGATTGGTCGTTGCTAAGCAGTTTAATTGTTCCAAACCAGATGTAGGTGGAGCTTCCAGGGGCTGCACACTCCTGGATACTGGCCTAGGAGTTGTGTTACTCAATGTAGGTCCAGTGGGACTCATTGTCTCAAGTCCACATCCATTGGAATACTCTAACTGATAAGCTCCTGTTGCCACATTTTCCAACAACAAAGCCAGTTGTAGTGCCTGTTTGCAGTCTAGTTGGGCTTCAGCTAGTAGGCACTTTTGCCTGGTTACATCATTAATCCCACATACCTAACAGTCTCTCAGCAGCTCATTAAGTATTAAACCAAAGTCACATGTCTCTGCCAGTCATCTTAACCTAGTCAAAAACCTAAAATGGATTCCCCTGGTTCTCAAATTCCCAAGTAAAACCAATAGCATCTCAGAATTAGAGGAGGTTTGGAGTCATAATATTCCTGAACTAAACCCATCACCTCTTGAAAGGTTTTAGTCTCTAGTGCCTCAGGTAAAGTTAGGCTCCTAATAACTGAAAAGGCTGTGGGTCCACATGCTGCCAGGAGAATTACTCATTGCTTTTCATCTGCCCCAACATCATTTGCCTGGAAAAAAATAATGGACTCTTTCCACACACTGGGCCTGGTGTTAGCCAGCAGGATCAAACAAGTTAAACTTCCCCAATAACAGGATAATGCCAGAAATGCTTACCATTGTTGCAAGCAAATCTCTTCAGGAGCATGCTTTTCTCTCATCACCAATGAAATAATTCAAAAGAGGCAGGTATCCCATCACCAAGACACCCTTTATTTACATATGGAGAGTCCTTAACACTAATCCAGCTCCATCAGAACCTGCTCTCAGAGTGAGCAGAACCCCTGACCCTCCTGTTTATATCTGTCAGCCAGGGCTCCCTGATTGGACCAGGTTAACAGCCCGAATCAGGGAAACCATATTCTCTACACTCACTACAGAGCCTAAAACTGTTCACAGGGTTCCAGCTGC